AGGCCCCGGAGGGGGGGGGGGGGAGGACGAGTCCAACCAAAGAAGTCTCTTCTCTTGTACATATGTCTCTAATAGTATTATATTTTTTTTTATTTTTTCTCTATCTTGCAGAGAACCCCTGACCACTAACACACTTACAAAATGGCAAACAAAGGGCCTGCATACGGACTGAGCAGAGAAGTCCAGATGAAGATCGACCAGAAGTACGACCCGGAGCTGGAGAACATCCTGGTGCAATGGATAAGCTGCCAGAGCGGCAGTCAGTTCGGCCAACCGGAGGAGCCCGGCAAAGCCGGCTTCCAGAAGTGGCTGAAGGACGGCGTGGTGAGTAGACGAGATCGGTCCACTGTCTTGGTGTAGGAAGGCTGTTGGAACTTTGACGGAACAAAAAGTCAGAAAGTACCAGCAGAATTCCCTTGGTGGTACTCTTGGGAAATAGACCGGGGCAGAGGGTAGGCCGCAACTCTACATTATTGTTACTTTTCCAAGGTGAAAGAGGCATCATGGGTGTAAAATTCATAGAGGATGAACCGTTGACCTTCTAAAGCCAAATGACTCAAGGCCGCTGTAGACAAAAGGTGCCTAGATGGGTGGTTCTACGATCCATCTGCTTCTGCCAGCTATGAAGGCCACCAAGTACCTAACCTTGACCATTCATATTTAGCATATGGAGAAGAGTGGTGTTGGATGGCCCTTCTGGTCCGGGCTTATCTGGGCTAAAGTAAAAAAGGCTGGGCAAGCTTTCCAAAATGGACTCCCCTTCCTGGCTGGTGGTCTCCATTGGTTCAATGTCACCCCTTCCTGGCTGGTGGTCTCCGTTGGTTCAATGTCTCCCCTTCCTGGCTGGTGGTCTCCGTTGGTTCAGGGTCTGCCCTTCCTGACTGGTGGTCTCCGTTGGTGCCCCAAAAACATTAGATCATTGAATGATCTGGTGGACACTACCATCATGATCTGGTGGACACTGCCATCATGAACTGGTGGACACTGCCATCATGAACTGGTGGACACTGCCATCGCGATCTGGTGGACACTGCCATCGCGATCTGGTGGACACTGCCATCGCGATCTGGTGGATGGATACTAGTGTCTATGGGCATCATTGGAATAGTTCATTGCCTGACCAACCCCCACTTGACTGACCCCACCAATGTGGGCTATTGATTGGCTGTTCAGATATCCAGGGCTGTATCATGGGGAAGGGAGGGGTAGTCACATGCTGTTCCATACCAGGTATTTCTCTGTTTCGGGGTAGTGAAGGGAAGAGGTCTATAAGTAGAGTTTAGCGGGAAGGGTAGGGGATGGAAGTGAAGATGTTGCACCGTTATTAGTGATACCAGTCTTCATGCCCAAATTGGCAGTCCCGAATCTCCTGAACCAAGCCACACTCTGCAACCAAGGCCTTTGCCTTCTGTAACTTCCAGAAGCCTTGGCCCAAAGCCGGCAAAAGAGACCGATAGGGCTCTTCTTGATTGGCCACTAAGGCCTCTCATTGGATAACGGGACAGCAGGGGAATGCCAGAACTCGTACATTCATTGGTAAAGATAGCCTGGTAGTGAACTTGCACCTTGAGTGGTGCAGTTGGGCAGGCACTTGGGCTGATATGATGAAGAAAGGATTATCCCGTAAAGAATTTCAATGAACCTCACCAAGTTCCCATCTTCTTCCTCTGCAGGTCTTGGGTCATCTGATCAACTCCCTGGCTCCGGGCTCCGTTGCCAAGGTCCAGACCTCCAGTATGGCCTTCAAGCAGATGGAGCAGGTGTCCCAGTTCCTGAAGGCCTGCGAGAAATATGGAATAGCAGCTAGTGACCAGTTCCAGACCGTTGACTTGTGGGAAGGTGAGAAACCTGAAATAATGCTTGTATTCCTGTGACCCGTCATCCCTTACATTGCTGGAGGGTGGCAACACTTTTCAGTATCTGCTATTCTGAAGACTCTGTGTCACCCCCTCCACCACTACTCATGAATCTCATTGTCCACCCTGAGCCCTCTCCCTTCTGTAAGCCCAATTGTATGTATCACCAAAACATTTTTATTCGTTTTGGATAGACTAGTGAAGGTTGACAACCCATGTGAGGTTATTTTTTGCCCTAATACCCATTGGGGAGATGTCCCTTCACTTTCCACCCCCGGACGTGAAACGGGAAGTAAGTAAAAAATCCAGGGAAGTGAACAAGGAAGGTATGGAACCTCTCCCAGTTTTCTTGACTTGGTACCCATTGATGAGCTTTCCCGTCACTCCTTGTCCCAGTGGCACCCTGTAAGTGAAGGTGGGACAGGGCGTCACTGGAACGGGAAGTGAGGGGGAAATCTTCCCTTTGGGGACAACAAACATGACAAAGGTTCTACCCTTCCTCACTTCATCCTCAACTAAAAGATGTAGACTTTTTCGGCAGGTGAATCAATAACATTTCTATTTATCTTCCAGGCAAGGACATGGCCAGCGTCCAGAGGACTCTGATGAACTTGGGTAGTTTAGCCAATACAAAGGATGACGGCTATTTCAAAGGAGACCCCAACTGGTTCCCCAAGTAAGTAGGCTCTTAGATAACGGTCATACCATGTGACTGTGACCTCCAAACCATGTGACTGTGACTTCCAAACCTCATTAGATCCATATCCTGAATAATTCTGTGTATTGAGCCTTAAGTATTAAAGGACCAGTCCACCCCCAAATGATATGGTGGATGTGGGAGAGTTAACCTCCATGGCCATCTCTTGTGGGACTTGATGAGATCTCCTGGCTCTCTATACCCATTATGAAGGGTTCCTACCATCCCTGCAAAGATTTCCTGGTTCGGTATACCTCCTTTGGCCATTGAGGGGCTCCCACCATCCCTACACTGAGTTCCCAGGTCTGTACACCCGCTGTACCCATTGAGAGGCTCCCACCATCCCTGTGCTGAGTTCCCGGGTCTGTACACCCGCTGTGCCCATTATGAGGGGCTCCCACCAACCATGGAGTTCTACTCCAACTCTCCCTGTGATGTACATGGACTGGGTCCTCCCCAGGCCGGTTCAAAGGTCACATATATCATTTTTGGTGGTTCCCGGGTCTGTACACCCGCTGTGCCCATAATGAGGGGCTCTCACCATCCCTGTGCTGAGTTCCCGGGTCTGTACACTTGCTGTGCCCATTATGAGGAGCTCCCACCATCCCTGTGCTGAGTTCCCGGGTCTGTACACCCGCTGTGCCCATTATGAGGAGCTCCCACCATCCCTGTGCTGAGTTCCCAGGTCTGTACACCTGCTGTCACCAGAATAGGAGGAGGTGAGGGGAGGTCTTCCAATGTGGACAACTGCCCAAGGGAGGGGGGGGTTTCCCTCAATTTGAGAGATTTTCTCCCACTTCCTGTCCGTTTTGAGGACAGGAAGTAAACAGGAAATCTGCTCAAAAGCAAAAAAACAGGAATAATAAATTAATATCATTTTTTTTCTGTCCCTTTAGGAAATCCATGGAGAACCGGCGCGAATTCTCTAAAGACAAATTAAAAGAAGGGCAGAGCGTCATCGGCCTACAGATGGGCACCAACAAGGGCGCCTCCCAGTCCGGAATGACCGGTTACGGCATGCCCAGGCAAATCCTCTGACCGCCCAAACCACTACAACCTCCTGGCCAACATCGGGACACGTCAAGCACTCATCTCCCAGCTGTCTCCTTTCTCTGCTCTCCTCTCTTCCCCCCCTCCCTGGTCCTCAGTACCCCCCCAAAAAAATCCTTAAGGGCAGCATCTAGGCCCCCGCTCAACCAACGTCAAAGTCACGCCAATGGCAAGATGGAAGAGTCCAACCCTTTCCCGTCGGTTGTCCTCCACTGCATGCAATTGTGTTTTAGGCCAGGATACAAAAAGAAGCCCGCTATTCCGAGGGGGAATTATTTAATTGGGGGGTGTTTAGGAATATTTTAGGAAAAAAGTTTACCAAAATTTTTTTTGGGTGTTTGGCAATGTCTTAACATTCCACATGTGCCTGCTACTTTTTTTTAATTCTTGTGACCAAATTAAGATTGCCTTATGATAAAGTTGTGTGTGTGTTGTTTTTTTTGTTTTTGTTCCGATTCTGTGGCTGGCGAGATTCCCCCGCGGTTCCCGGTGATCAGCCCAGCGTCGGCGCAAATTAAGGAAAAAAAAAAAAGGGAACAAGAGGTTTCGCTGTAGATTCATTCCTGATAAGGACTGGGGGTGGGACCTTTGCATCTTTTTTTTTGGCTCTGCTGTCTGATCTCCAGATCCATTACTGAGAAACAAACATATTTCTGATCCGAATAAAGACCAATCTATGTTTATAAATTGTGAGTGTGGTCATGGATGGGGAAGGGGGGCGGGGATAACATGTCGCATGGTTTGGTACACAAGGAGATGAGCATACTACATGAGAAACAAAAGGAAGCTTGCATGGAGGGTATGTCAGGTGTTTTTTGGGTCACCTGTGGCCCTTTTGACCTTCCTTTTGGCCTTGGGTGGTTCCAGAATTTGATGAGACTCTAAGTTTGCCCACCCTCGTCCTACTCATAATCACCTTCCACCATGATCTCTAGTCACTCCATTCTTCAAACTGGTCAAACCCAGTGTAAGGTCCATGATGGACAGTGTCCATGATAGTCCACCCCCAATCCACTCATAATTACCTCCACCCATGCACCCTAGTCACTCCATACCTCCAAGTGTCAAACACTGTGTAAGCTCCATGATGGATGGTGTTGGAGCTTACACAAGGTTGATGATGTCCACCTCATGTGGCGATTGGCCATTCATGCCAGGGCACTGCATCATGGAAGGAGGTTTGAGAACTTGAAGAGACTCTATAGCTTTGCCTTGCAGACTAGTCCACCCCAAACCCTCTAATAACCATCTCCCCCTATGGTCCCTAGTCACTCCATTCCTCCAACTGGTCCAACCCTGTGTAAGCTCCATGATGGACAGTGTCCATAATAGTCCACCCCCAATCCACTCATAATCACCTCCCCCATACTCCTTAGTCGCTCCATTCCTCCAACTGGTCAAACCCCTGTGTAAGCTCCACGATTGATGGTGTTGGAGCTTACACAAGGTTGATGACATCCACCTCATGTGGCGATTGGCCACTCATGCCAGGGCACTGCATCATGGAACAAGGTTTAAGAATTTAAAGAGACTCTGTAGCTTTGCCCACCCTCATCCTACTCATAATCACCTCCCACCATGATCTCTAGTCACTTCCAACTGGTCAAAACTTGTGTAAGCTCCATGATGGACAGTGTCAATGATAGTCCACCCCCAATCCTCTCATAATCACCTTCCACCATGCTCCCTAGTCACTCTATTCCTCCAATTGTCAAACCCTGTGGAAGGTCCATGATGGACGGTGTTGGAGCTTCTACAAGGTTGAGGACGTCCACCTCATGTGGCGATTGGCCATTCATGCCAGGGCACTGCATCATGGAAGAAGGTTTGAGAACTTGAAGAGACTCTATAGCTTCGCCTTGCAGACTAGTCCATCCCAAACCCTCTCATAATCACCTCCCCCCATGATCTCTAGTCACTCCATTTCTCCAATTGGTCCAACCCTGTGTAAGCTCCATGATGGACAGTGTCCATGATAGTCCACCCCGAATCCACTCACCACCTCCCCCCATACTCCTTAGTCGCTCCATTCCTCGAACTGGTCAAGCTCCACGATTGATGGTGTTGGTGCTTACACAAGGTTGATGACATCGACCTCATGTGGCGATTGGCCATTCATGCCAGGGCACTGCATCATAGAAGGAGGTTTGAGAACTTGAGACTCTATAGCTTTGCCTTGAATACTAGTCCATTCCAAACCCTCTCATAACCATCTCCCCCCTTTGGTCCCTAGTCACTCCATTCCTCCAATTGTCAAACCCTGTGTAAGCTCCATGATGGACGGTGTTGGAGCTTACACAAGGTTGATGCTGTCCACCTCATGTGGCGATTGGCCATTCATGCCAGGGCACTGCATCATGGAAGGAGGTTTGAGAACTTGAAGAGACTCTATAGCTTCGCCTTGAATACTAGTCCATCCCAAACCCTCTCATAATCACCTCCCCCCATGATCTCTAGTCACTCCATTTCTCCAATTGGTCCAACCCTGTGTAAGCTCCATGATGGACAGTGTCCATAATAGTCCACCCCCAATCCACTCATAATCACCTCCCCCCATACTCCTTAGGTGCTCCATTCCTCCAACTGGTTGATGGTGTTGGAGCTTACACAAGGTTGATGACATCCACCTCATGTGGCGATTGGCCACTCATGCCAGGGCACTGCATCATGGAACAAGGTTTAAGAATTTAAAGAGACTCTGTAGCTTTGCCCACCCTCATCCTACTCATAATCACCTCCCACCATGATCTCTAGTCACTTCCAACTGGTCAAAACTTGTGTAAGCTCCATGATGGACAGTGTCAATGATAGTCCACCCCCAATCCTCTCATAATCACCTTCCACCATGCTCCCTAGTCACTCTATTCCTCCAATTGTCAAACCCTGTGGAAGGTCCATGATGGACGGTGTTGGAGCTTCTACAAGGTTGAGGACGTCCACCTCATGTGGTGATTGGCCATTCATGCCAGCGCACTGCATCATGGAAGGAGGTTTGAGAGTTCAACGAGACTCTGTAGCTTTGCTCACCCTCGTCCTACTCATAATTGCCTCCCACCATGATCTCTAGTCACTACATTCCTCCAACTGGTCAAACCCTGTATAAGCTCCATGATGGACAGTGTCCATGATAGCCCACCCTCAACCCACTCACCACCTCCCCTCCTACCATGATCCCAAGTTACTCCATTTACCAAACCCTGTGTAAGCTTCTTGTTGGATGGTGTTGGAGCTCACACAAGGTTGCCGATGTCCTCCTCATTTGATGATCCTGGCGATTGGCCTGAACATTGGGTCATGGAAGGTGTTTTTCTGGTCACGGGGCCTTTTTTTTTTTACATTCCTGGTGGCCTCCATTGGTTTAGGAATTTGAAAATCAGATCCAAATAGTTAGGAAATGTCGGGATCTCAATGCTTGTTCAGAAGACCAAATGCAGCACAGGTCTCCAACTCAGCACAGGGATGGTGGGAGCTCCTCATAATGGGCACAGCGGGGGTACAGACCCGGGAACTCAGCACAGGGATGGTGGGGGCCCCTCATAATGGGCACAGCGGGTGTACAGACCCGGGAACTCAGCACAGGGATGGGGGAGCCCCTCATAATGGGCACAGCGGGTGTACAGACCCGGGAACTCAGCACAGGGATGGGGGAGCCCCTCATAATGGGCACAGCGGGTGTACAGACCCGGGAACTCAGCACAGGGATGGGGGAGCCCCTCATAATGGGCACAGCGGGTGTACAGACCCGGGAACTCAGCACAGGGATGGGGGAGCCCCTCATAATGGGCACAGCGGGTGTACAGACCCGGGAACTCAGCACAGGGATGGGGGAGCCCCTCATAATGGGCACAGCGGGTGTACAGACCCGGGAACTCAGCACAGGGATGGGGGAGCCCCTCATAATGGGCACAGCGGGTGTACAGACCCGGGAACTCAGCACAGGGATGGGGGAGCCCCTCATAATGGGCACAGCGGGTGTACAGACCCGGGAACTCAGCACAGGGATGGGGGAGCCCCTCATAATGGGCACAGCGGGTGTACAGACCCGGGAACTCAGCACAGGGATGGGGGAGCCCCTCATAATGGGCACAGCGGGTGTACAGACCCGGGAACTCAGCACAGGGATGGGGGAGCCCCTCATAATGGGCACAGCGGGTGTACAGACCCGGGAACTCAGCACAGGGATGGGGGAGCCCCTCATAATGGGCACAGCGGGTGTACAGACCCGGGAACTCAGCACAGGGATGGGGGAGCCCCTCATAATGGGCACAGCGGGTGTACAGACCCGGGAACTCAGCACAGGGATGGGGGAGCCCCTCATAATGGGCACAGCGGGTGTACAGACCCGGGAACTCAGCACAGGGATGGGGGAGCCCCTCATAATGGGCACAGCGGGTGTACAGACCCGGGAACTCAGCACAGGGATGGGGGAGCCCCTCATAATGGGCACAGCGGGTGTACAGACCCGGGAACTCAGCACAGGGATGGGGGAGCCCCTCATAATGGGCACAGCGGGTGTACAGACCCGGGAACTCAGCACAGGGATGGGGGAGCCCCTCATAATGGGCACAGCGGGTGTACAGACCCGGGAACTCAGCACAGGGATGGGGGAGCCCCTCATAATGGGCACAGCGGGTGTACAGACCCGGGAACTCAGCACAGGGATGGTGGGGGCCCCTCATAATGGGCACAGCGGATGTACAGACCCGGGAACCACCAAAAATGAAATATGTGACCTTTGAACCGGCCTGGGGAGGACCCAGTCCATGTACATCACAGGGAGAGTTGGAGTAGAACTCAAAGCCGTGTAAATCTCAGGACTGGATGGACGGAGATACAAATCCTTCAGCTGTGCTTTGCTCAAGGGTGACATAGTTGGTACTTCCGTATATGGAGGACCATGTGACTCCTGTTTGTCCCACGTACCGGCGCTTGGCGATTGGCTGTTCAGATACCCAGAGAGACGTTCGGAATGAAAAGGAGCCACGATGAAGGGGCGACAGGTTCTCTTTAAAGAAGACGCAGTCCTCGGCCTTTCATATGTGATCCTTCTATGTCTTGGCTGAGCGCCCGCTCACAGCCGGCCCTCTGCGGCGTATTCACCCCCCTCCCCCCGGCCTCGCGTGTTTTCTTTTATAAGTGAATAACGGGTGAATGTTTTCCTTCAGTCGCTGTTACTGAGAAAACTGATTCTGAGAAGAGGCCTGCGCTCCCTCCCCCCGCCGTCACCTGACCCACGCCGCCCATCTGAAGAACCGCGCAAAGGCCCCATCCTGACCTGCAACTCCTCCATCGTGACCGCGGTGCAACCGTACGACCGCGGCATATTACAGATAAATGTACAATGAGGTCCTTGTTCAGGCTCTTCCTGTTATAGGGTGACAATGCTCTGTCCTTGTTCAGACACTTCCTGTTATAGGATGACAACGCTCAGTCCTTGTTCAGACACTTCCTGTTATAGGGTGACAATGCTCTAACCTTGTTCAGACACTTCCTGTTATAGGGTGGCAACGCTCTGTCCTTGATCAGACACTTCCTGTTATAGGATGACAACACTCCGTCCTTGTTCAGACACTTCCTGTTATAGGGCGACAACGCTCTGTCCTTGTTCAGACCCTTCCTGTTATAGGGTGACCACACTCTGTCCTTGCTCAGACACTTCCTGTTATAGGGTGACAACGCTCTGTCCTTGTTGAGATACTTCCTGTTATAGGGTGACCACACTCTGTCCTTGCTCAGACACTTCCTGTTATAGGGTGACAACGCTCCGTCCCTGTTCAGGCACTTCCTGTTATAGGGTCATGACGCTGTGTCCTTGTTCAGACACTTCCTTTTATAGGGTGATGACGCTCTGTCCCTGTTCAGGCACTTCCTGTTATAGGGTGACAACGCTCTGCCTACCAATTGTGCTCTTCCGTTGTCACCTTGTCATAGAGGACTACAAGTGGCCGATTCATCACATATTACGCAGACACGGTCCACCGTTGTCACCATCAGGAAACCCACTCTGAGAAATGCCATGCAGCCATTGGCTGAGTGCATGTAGACAGGAAGTGGCTGCACAGAGGCTGCAGGAGATCAGCAGCACGGGATCTTGGCTCCGATCACATGACGCTGGAAGATTTTTGGCCAACCAACCTTAAATCTCTCAATCACTGCGACCACGGACAGCCCCGCAAATGTCGCCGCGCTTCCGGCGTTCTCACCCCTCCGCCGCGTCCCCGGGAGATAAACCAAATATTTATAGAAGGTGATAAACATTGGAGAGACGCAGGAAGTGGATCTGTAAACCAGGAAAGTTCCCGCAGAGCCCCCGAGATTTACAATGGTTGTCACAGAGACAAAAACAAAACGGCCCGAGGGTTCGGGGAGGAGACCCCCCCCCCCCCCTCCGACAGATGTCAGCA